GGATCTCTGGGGCAGACAGACAGATATAGAAGAGACCTTCTCAGGAGCCCCCACCCCATAATCATTACACAGCAGTGAGGGGGTTTAACAGGTTAACAGAGTTGAAAGGGACCTTGTAGGTCATCTAGTCCAACCTCCCAGCCAAGCAGGAGACCCTACACAATTTCTGACAGAAGGCAGTCCAATGTCTTTTTGAAAGCTTCCAGTAATGAAGCTCCCACAACTTCTGAAAGCAACTTCTGTTCCATGGGTTGATTGTTCTCACTGTCAGAAAATTCCTCCTTATTTCCAGGTTGAATCTCTCCTTGTTCAGTTTCCATCCATTGTTCCTTGTCTGGCCTACAGGCACTTTAGAAAATAGCTTGACCCCCTTCCTCCTCTCTATGGTGACCCCTGATATATTGAAAGACCCCTATCCTGTCTCCCCTGGTTCTTCTTTTTAATAGACTAGCCAGGCCCAGTTCCTGCAACCGTTTGTTGTATGTTTTAGCTTCTAGTCCCCTAATCAACCTGATTGCTCTTCTCTGTAATTTTTCCAGAGTCCAAACATCCTTTTTTATAATCTGGTGAACAAGACTGGATGCAGTACTCTAGGTGTGGTCTTACTAAGGCTTTATAGAGTTGTAGTAGTACTGCCCTTGATCTTGATTCTATCCCTCTGTTAATGCAAATTAGGATTGCATTGGCTTTTTTGCTGCTGCTACACACTGCTGGCTCCTATTTAGCTGGTTGTCCACTAAGACTGCAAGATCCCTCTCCCAGTCACTGCTATTGAGCCTGGTTTCACCCAGTCTATATGGGTCCTTTGGGTTTTCCTTGCCTAAGTGTAGGACTTTCCTTTTCTCTCCATTGAATTTCATTTTGTAAGATACGGCCCAGGGTTCAAGTCTGTCAAGATCCCTCTGGATCTTCAGCCTGTCTTCTTGGGTGTTGGCTATTCCTGCCAGCTTAGTATCATCTGCAAATTTGGTAAGTTCTTGGTGGGTCTTTGAAGCACCAAGGCGGTGAGATGACCAAGGAAGGAAGAACAGGGCCCAGCTGAACAACTCAGTCCTGGGTTGATTGTGGAGGTCCCTCTTCCTTGGGGGGAGGGGCTTCCCAATGGCCTGCCTCCCCTTTTAATTTCTCCCCTCTTTTATCGTCTCTGCAGGGAAGGAAGGAAGACCATGGGGCGATTCCTCTTGGTGAGCCTGAGCTTGCTGGTTGTGACTTTATCCCTAAATGGTGAGTTTGAGCAGGGTCTCTGGTGTCTGGAGAAGACAACTTGCTTGCCTTTGAGCCAGGGGTGGGATTGAACCGGTGTGTAAGAACTGGTTTGGTGAGCGTGCACAGCATTGGAGAACCACTTTCTCCTGCAAGCCCTGTGTGCAACACACGGTGTGCACCGCAATCAGTTGTGGAATGTATCAAGCCCGAAACCCTTCCCCCCACGACGGACAAAGAGAAAGTAAGAAAAAGAATATCTACTAAGACTAACTAAAATGGCTACACTTGGGTCAGTTTCGAGCTGGACGTATAGTAGGAGGCCAACGCAAATCATTCGGGACTGACCGGCGTCCTGTGTGTTGCATTGGATCACAGCCTGGGTGCTGCCTTCTTCAGCAGCTGAAGGGTGGCCCCCCACTCATGAAGGCCATTGGGGTAGTCTAGATGGCTCATGAGACTTTCCCAGGGAAAGATTTGCATTTCGCACCCTAGAGCCACATGTCCTTCAAATGAAGCTGGCTGTGTCCTGTTCCCAGCCAGTTGACCTTGAAGTTGTATCTCAGGGCGATACCATATACCTTGTTTCCCTGGAAAACTTCCCCCTCCCGTCCAAGCCTCCACCCACCCACCCCGAGTTCATGGCAGACTGGCACCAAATGATTGTGTAGCAAGCCTGAAGTGACCACTGTCACGGAATCTAGTGCATTAAAAATAACCCCCCATTTTCTAGCTTTGCACTGTGCACACTTATTTAATTTATCTGATTTGTCAATCACTTAAAGATAATAGGTATAAGTAAAAACATAGTGATGAATACATGGATCCATATAAGAAAAATCAAAAGAAACAACAGGACAGGGACGGTAGGCACATAGGTGCGCTTATGCACGCCCCCTACGGACCTCTTAGGAAAGGGGTGAGGTCAATAGTAGACAGTCTAAGGTGAAAGTTTTTGGGGGTTTGGGGAAGAAACCACAGAGTCAGGTAGAGGATTCCAGACATTGACCGCTCTGTGGCTGAAGTCGTATTTCCTGCAATCAAGTTTGGTGCGGTTAACCTTGAGTTTGTGTCTATTGTGTGCTCTTGTGTTATTGTGGTTGAAGCTGAAGTATTCATTGACAGGAAGGACATTGCAATGTGTGATTTTACGTACTATACTTAGATCGGACCGAAGGCTGAATGATAAAGCAACCCAAGTGGACAGAGTCTAGCCAGACAAGGAAATTACAGGGGTGGGCTTCGAATATTTGACCAAGGGGTTGTCTGCCTGGTTGCTGGGTGGGCGTGGCTCTTCTCGAGCCTCCGGGAGGGTGAAAATGGCCGCCCTGGGCTCCAGAGGCGCTCTGGAAACCAGAAATGGGCCCATTTCTGCTTCTGGGTGGCCCATTTTTCACCCTTCCTGAGCCTCCAGGTGCGCCCTGCACTTGCCTGCATCCAAATGGGGCCCCGTGAGGACTCCCGGGAAGAGAGGAAGGGGAGGAGTGGATGGGGCCAGCCGGGAGAGGGATTTGGGGGGGTCTCTGAATGGTACAGAATCTTCTCTAGGGGATCTCCCGAACCCCTGTGGACCCCCAGCAGCCCCCACCCCAGGGAAATTAACCGAGGTTAACTCTAACCGAGGTTTGGACCATCTGCCGATGCTATAAGTAATGTCACCACTGGACGGTACTTGGCTATAGATCCAAGTATACGGAGTGACTACAGATGGAGACTCTATGGTATCATTATGAGAATAATGGTTATAATTAGGGTCTATATTATTATGTACCTGTTAAAAAGACATGATATAGACAATGCAGAAACGGAAATGGGATGGATGATAAAGGAAAATGTACAATAGAAATTTTATATATGTGTCTTGGCGTCTTCGGGTCTTTTCCCGTGTAAGATTGAGAGCATCTTGGAGACGTTTTGACGAGGTCCCACTGGCCATCTTCAGTCTGGTGCTTTTGGCTTCGTGCTTGTGTGGGCTCCTCTTCCTCCTCTTCTCCCGGCCACCTACTCATTGGGCTTCTTCTTCACCCACACAGGAATTGGAGCTGACCATCATTGCCCCTCGGACTGGACCTCCCTTGGGGAGTTTTGCTACAAGTTGATCAAAGAATGGAAGACCTGGGAAGATGCCGAGGTTAGAAGTATGAATCTCTTAGCCCAGGCAGAGGGGAAGTATAGGCAGAGCCTGGAAGACCTCACCCCCACCCCCAAAGACCCCTCTGTCTGGGCTGAAGGGGAGGGACACTGCTGGGTGAATGCAAAAATAGCAAAAAAAAAATGCAATTATTCTCTCGACCGTCCTGCCTACAAACGTTAGCGAAGGTCAACATTTTAGGATAGCCTGAAATCCAGATCTTCTGAGGACCTGGGCCCATCTGAACTTCCCCTTTCCACTCTTTGAGCCAGGAGGAAACGACGCCAGGAGAAAGTTTGCTGCCCCTGGCTGCCAATTCCTCCCCTGCCTCTGGGCACAGGATGGGCAGAGGGCAGCAGCCTTATGGGTAGCCTAGGGGGCCCACGAAGGGCAGGGCATTGCAGATTTCCTGGTTCGTTTTCCTCCACTCCAGCCATACATCTCCCACAATGCCTCTCCTCAATGTGGGTTTTCTCAATGTATTTATCTATTGTTTATGTATTTATTTATTTTTATCCCATCTTTATTTTTACTTTATAAATGACTCAAATCGGTTAACATGGCGCCAATGCTGCTTCTTCCTCCTGTTTTCCTCCCAACAACAACCTTGTGAGATAGCTTGGCCCGAGAGGGAGTGGCTGCATTGCATAGAAGGGCTTTTCTCCCCAAGCCCCGCCCCCTTCCCATCCTCCCCATCCCGAGTTCGTGACCGACTGTCGCTGTTTGGCAGCGAAACGCAAGCGAGCATAAAGTGGCATCTGACAGATGGATTGGAAAAAGCCGGTGTGATGACCCAAAGGGGTGTGGCAGAAAGGCAACACAGCCAGAGAATAAGTATGAGTTCCTTCATTAGCTCCAACTTTGCCGGTTCCTCTCTGGTCCGGGGACAAACTCACCCACAAACCTGCAACAGCCTTTGGCTGCAGATACTTCAGTCCAAACTGAATACTCCCTTCTAACCACTGTGGCACCAGTGCCCGTCCTTCCTTCCTTCCTTCCTTCCTTCCTTCCTTCCTTCCTTCCTTCCTTCCTTCCTTCCTTCCTTCCTTCC